ACAGTGGCTGCTGCCATGGGTCAGAAGAAGCGTTGGGCTAAGGGTGCTGTGCAGATTTTGCTGATGAAAAATGAGAGTGAGGTCGACCCGGATTGGCGTCCACCGCGCGTGCCTGCCCCAGACCCAAAGCCGTCACTTACGTTCCCACGTAAGATGTTTTTCTACGATTCGGTGCTGTACCCCTTCGGTTCGATTCCTGCCTTGTGTTACGTATCGATTGCTGTCTACTATTTGTGTACGGGCGACGCTCCGATCTACGCTCGTGGAACTAAGTTCCTGTACTCTTTCTTGCCCGTGACGTTTTGTCGTTGGGTACTGAATCTGCTGGCTAATCGTGCTGTCGACAACAATGACGTGTGGCGTGCGCAGCAGACATGGTTTTCGTTTTCGTTCATTACGATGATGGCTATCATTGAAGCCATCCAGGCGCGAATGACGGGCAAGGACAAGTCGTGGGCAAACACTGGTGCCGGTCAGAAGACGTCGTGGACAGAAATTCCAAACGTGCTTTTTTTCTTTACGCTGCTGTTCAGTCAGTTGGTGGCGCTTATTCGTTTCTTCGAGTACGAAAACGCCACGAACCCATGGAACTACGTGTCGTCCATGTTTTTTGGCTTCTTCGTTATGAGCCAGTTCTACCCCATGGTCAAGATGAGTATCACGGAGTACTGTGGCTGGGATCACACTGCCGCTACATTTACTGCGAACGTGTTTGGTTCGCTGCTTGTAGTCTATATTGTGGTATTTGTTCAGCTGTGGCAGGTTTACTACGCGGGCAATCTCCAGGTGGCCCAGGGCATCGTAGCAGGTACGAGTGACCCAGTGGCAGCGACGTAGACTGGAATGTCGCGAAGAAGCAGCTGATGTTTGGCCGAAGAGGAGAAGGAGACACATGGTGCGATGCATGCCGAGTACAGGTGAGGAGAAGCGGTAGTGAATGTAGCCTTTGTAGCGAGCGGGTGACGCGCTTGAAACTGCGCGCCGCCGTCATTTTCTCTCTAGTGACTGGATATTTGCATGCGTAAAATTGCTTTTGCCAGAACCGGTTGAAGTGGTGTCTTCATGAGGTCTTTTGCTTGTCCTCGAGGGGTATTGCCATCAGCTACAGTCGATGAGGTCTTTGCCAGCGCAGTAGATCATTTCGAGCACCAAAGGTTGTGGTGACGTGCCTCTTCTTCTCTTGCAGTCTACTAGTATTGATCAAGCATAGATACGTTTACATCCAGTGCTGCACCACGCAGCATAGCGGATGATTGTAGCCTGCGGTTTACTTGTCGACAGCCTAGTTGATTCACACGGTGACCAGCTGAATGCGATAACGTCGTGGACGCAGTGTCGGGTACTCCGTCCGAACACGGCGGCCAACGAGCTACACATCCTGTTTTCGCCTGAATGAAGTTCGAGCCTTGACATGCAGCTGGTATGCTATCGGTGGTGATACCCCATGTTACGACCCCGGAAGAGCGAAACCACGAACGCTTTCAACAGATAGACTGCAGCCATCTCTCCGTGCAAGTGTGACCGAGCAGGAACCATCCTGATACTTTCCAGTCTCTTAGCCAGGGCTTGCGCTGCATATAACACGATCGACGAGCTTCAACAACGCATCATGACCTCCACTTTCTACCTGAAGTGCAGATTCCGACGCTGTACGAGAATACACCAACGCGTGTCCGCTGCATATGAGTCCACAATCGAATACTTCTCCGAGTATTCTCGGCTAGCAGTTTAATCCACCAGCACCACACACCCGACCATGCTTGAGTCAATCTCCATCTCTTGCAAACTGCAAGCTCTGGCCATGCACGAATAGCTGTTCTTGTTCCAAGCAAGCTGTTCCCGGAGTCACAACACTACCGTCGGGTGTAGTCTCCGACAGCAGATGGCCTGAGCCACGTTTCCATTGCTAAATCGGTGCCAAATTGCGGAAAGACATATCCTGCGCTCCCGGTCTCCACGACATTCCTAGTTTGCATCAATGCTGAGCGACGCGAGCAAATCAATTATAATTCGGTCAGCGGTCAGCTCGGTCGATGCGTGCGAGTTTATTATCTTCGCCTTGAGGACCGACGCTGGAAATTCATGGTACCACTCGAGACAACGAAGCAAAAAGGATAGCAAATATAACGCACAGCTTTCACTCCCCTCTGCATACAACACGTGCTGTATCTGCACAACTGTTTCATGCTGTACTAGTCTTCAACATTCTTGACATTCAGCTGTCAACACCGAGCCCAGCTGAAACCTGCACTACAATGATGCAGTTTAGTAAAATGATGATTAAGTACCGAATAGCACTTACCATTATATATTTGCTCCAATAATTACATGAACACCATGAAAACCTGTCAATGAAATTTCTGTACCATTGATACGATCAGATGTTGAAATAAACTTTAAATTGGTTGAAATATATTAATTTTAGTATCTTTTTTAGATAATTTCTGTAATATATATTTTTTAATTCTTATATTTAAAGAAAAGTAAAAAGCTCAAAAAAATAGAATAAAGATACTTAAAGCATTATTTTGTTTATCGTCGAAACTAAATGAATGATGCGCCCGATAAACTGTACGTTTTACTAATGTAATGTTTTGAATAGGCTCTTTATCTTTGATGGTTAGGCTCTTTATCTTTGATGGTTTATCCTTTTTTATTGATTTTCATTCTAAAGATTTAATATTGGAAGTGGCTTTTGCAAGACTCGTTGAAATAGGACATTTTAATCAGGGAAGCGTTAACCACCCCCCAGGTTTTCGCTAATCACTCCCACCCCCTATATATTACCGTAATTTATGTATGTTACGCCTTCTAATTGGTAAGATTAAGAAATCACAGTTCCCAGAAGTAATTTACAATCTCGTTCACACACGATAAAATACGATATCCGAATATAACACGCATGTCATCAAGTCGGCGACATGTGGTAATTTATCATTTGGCTGCTTCCTTTACAATACACTGAAACCCGAGTAGCAAGGAGTTGCGGCAAACGACGGAGGGGACACTATTCTATTGGCGAAAATGCAAGATGGTGAGAGTGTGACGAAGGTCGGCCGACCACCCTCGGCAGGCAGATGCAGCCACAATCGGTTGTAAAAATGGTTGGATGGTAGAGAGCGTAAGAAACATTGTTTGTAGGATGTTAAAAAACAAATATCACTTCTACTTTCACAGCACCCTCAATACCTATAAAGTATAACATATTCAACATGAGTTAAGTACACTCACCTAGTTCTATTCCAATTCGTTCACATTTAAGGGGTGGTGAGTGGCTAACAAAAACTGGGCGGTATAATACTGCCGGCCTACCTCTTGGGAACATTTCTGACCCTCACGCTCGTTGCTTGCATTTTTTAAAATTGTTGAATTCACGTTTCTTGTGTCCTACACCACATCAGCGATCCTAGACGACAAGATGTGTTACTTCATTGACGTAAAGTTTAACCCACCATAAGGCTTAAGTAATAATTACGCCGTCCAGTCACATACTAGAGCACTGCCTTATAGTATTATTTTTGCGGCAAACCCAATAAGCAGCTCGCAAATGCTTCTGTCTCTTTCCGACAACACTTCCGCCTTCCATGAAACGTGTACTGGAGTCTTACAACGGCTTCGTCTTGCTATCCCCATCTACGTGCTGGAAATGAAAGACAAATGTCGTGGGGTGATTAAATGTGAACGATTTTCAATAGAACCAGGTGAGTGTACTTAACTCACGTTAAGTAGTGTCCTCACCGTCGTTTGCCGCAACTCCTTGCTACTCGGGTTTCAGTGTATTGTAAAGGAAGCAGCCAAATAATAAATTACCACACGCCGCCGGCTTAATGACATGCGTGTTATATTCGGATATCGTATTTTATCGTTTGTAAACGAGATTGTCAATTACTTTTGAGAACTGTAATATTCGCAGCCATACCGATCAGAAAGCGTAATATACATAAATTACGGTAATATGTAGGGGTAGGGGGGTGGTTCACGTTTCCCTTTAATTACTGGTTAAATACAATTGGTGCTTTTCCACAGCTTTTTTATTCCACTCATTTGATTGTTTTTGCTGTAAAACTTCATCGGGACAAATGAGGAGTCCATCAGGCATGCATGACCTCCGTAGCGGGCGACCCAACTACGTGCATTTCCTCGATAATGATGTGAACATGTTAGCACTTCTAACGGACTGACAAAGATACAACGTATGAGCCCGCATGGCCAACTTGTAGCCGATGCACTGCCTTTCGACTTCCACATCTGATTATGTTGCACCCAGGCCGTATTCGCGAGTCTTGCTTTAGATCTATCCGTGTCTGCACAGCCAAGTATCGCCGGAATGCCCGCCAAAGGACAGTTCACCAACAGACCGTATAGCCTTCTGAGTAACACAGCGTACTAAACTTCGATAGATCCTCCAAATTCCGAAATATCGATCCAGTGGAGTATGGACACCCAAATGCATGTAACGTGGCAGCCTTCTTGAGTATTAGTGTCAGAAATGCTGAGCGTCATGAGCGGTACAGAACTGGACTGCCACACACGAACAGCGTGCGGCGTGACAATTCCATTTACATACTCAAGCCTCTGCAGTATAAAAAACGCTGGATATCGTTTCGACTCTTCTTCATGTCTCGCGTGCTTGAGCAAAACAACGTCAAGCTCTCTCCATTACTCACTTCACTTCACACAACTAGTAGATCCATCATTAAAAGTAATTGTCGTCATGCGGCGGAAGGATTGGCAGTCATAGTCGGACAAGCAGGCTATGACTCATTCCAGTCGCTCTCAATCTCCCACAGTATCATTATTCGAACGTGCACAAGCACCCCACCAGCGATAACTATTCCGCCAATTGCAGATTGACGCGACCATCGCGTGCCAGTCGTGATGCCACCACAAGTAGCAGCAGTCTCCAAGCACCAACATCCTGCTTTTGCTTTAGCGATACCCCACCGATAGACGCAAAGACTTGAGGATGCGCGTCATGCGTAAAAAGTGTCCGACAAGTATCAACACATCTCAACAGAGTCTCCCACCTTGCCCATTGTGCCTCCACATCCTCGAAAATCTACGCGGACCTTGCCCGCCTTGCCAAATGGTCTTTCAATCTTGCCTTCGCCCGAATTCTCATCATCACAAGCGACGCATCGCACTTGGCAGCCTACAGCAGCATCTGCCTCTTGTTCATTTCCAAACAACCCCGACATAATCGCAAACGGATTTCTTCCAGTTGCAGTTGTCTCGCCCTTGAGACGCTCGATTCTACCTTGTCGAGGAGCAGTGTAAATAAATGCATTGTTTCCTTCATCGTGAGCAAGCACAGTCTTCGTGGCAAGACGAACGGCGTCCATTAACATTGCATCAACATTCGGAAGTGAGGTCGATACTACGAAAGCTTCCGGGTAAAGCAAGCGACTATCTTGAAGCAACAAGGCTTTCCCGGCAGACTGAGCGCTCGACCGAGGAGCACGCCATCTAGTCGTATGAAGCCTCCCTCCAGACTTTAATGGCTTCAACGTGACTAACTTGACAAAACGCAACACAAGCTTGTCTCCTGGAGCAGGAACAAAACATCGATGCGAATTCGACGTTGTGCTGTTTCGTTCCAACGCTATGCGGAACTTGCCCGTCTTACCAAAAGGCCCAAGAATGATCCCGAGCACTCGTGCTTTCTCAAACAACACTGCTAAGCCCTGGTACACGCTCCACTTTACGTCCTTCGAATACATGCCACGACCGATCACCTCGATTTCGCCTGCATCGATGCCACTTCGTGGCGTGGATACTTTGTCCACAAAGCCATCTCGACTTTTCACTCGACCGATTCGCATGTCATCCAGGTTCACCACTCGGCGGTGCACAGATGACAGCATGTCCAGCTCTTCACTACACGACCCCACAACACACTCCACAGTCCCATAGAAAGCCAGACGACACGAAAAGCGCTTTGCATCCAGATCAAGACGTGAGCACACCACAAGCGTCGCGGGTGGACAAAAGACAGCACGTTCGAATTGTAGTAGCGCAAAAATTGTGGTGGCGTCAATGCTATTCGTGCCGTCTTGGACACTGTATCCAAATTCAAGGTCTGGCACGTATTCATACAGCGCCAACGGATCGAACGTCTCCTCCAAAAGATGTCCTGCATCTCCTTCTGTCCTTCCCAATCGGGCGAAGAATGTGGCGGTAGCAATCACAGTCGTGTGACCTACCGTCGTATGACACTTTGCTCCACTCTTGCACGCTCTGCCTTGAAAGAGCGGGACACGCGCCACCGCAATGACCACCTGCGTCACTGCAGTCAAACTTCCCGGCGGCGACACTGCCAACGCTCGTTCTACAAGTGCCGGGTCCAGTCCGTTCACACGCAGCCCAACTCGATCACCTTGAACGCACCTTTCTACGTCTTTTCGGAACACCTGCAGCGTCTTCACTGTAGTCCTCGCCCCAATTGGCAGCAGCTCCAGCTCACTTCCTGTCGAAAGCGCTCCAGACAGCACAGTGCCAGTGAGCACAGTACCATGGCCTGGCACAGCAAAGCAATGGTCCACTGCAAGACGAAAATCTCCACTTGTGTCACGTTCTGGAGCCTGCAAATGGGTCCGTAGCACCTCCAAGAGATGCGGAATCCCCTCAGTCTTGTGTCCAGTCCCCACGGCCACAGGCACGACGGGAATAGTCACGTCCTTGAGCGAGCGAACGTGGGTCGCCACAAAGGCCCGTATCTCACTCGTCACTGCGCCAATCGCGGCCGCTCTTTCCACACCAAGAGCGGACAACAAGTCCGTCTTGGTCAGTACAATCACCAGTTGCCGAGGACACACGAGCGACGCCAGCAACAAACTCTCGATCGTCTGGGCCTCCAGCCCTTTGCGGCAGTCGACTACAAGGACCACTGTGTCAATAATGGCTACACCTCTCAAAATCGTTTGAAACAGCGATGCATGGCCAGGACAATCCACGAGTGTCACTTGGCGGAATGATGGTCCTCCCTTTCTGACGTCCAATCGGAAGCTAGAGAAGCCCAAGTCCAGCGTGATGCCACGGCGTTGACTCTGCGGGCTCTTGTCCAGAGCGGCCGTGGACAGATGCGTGCTCAGGGCCCGCACGAGGCTCGTCTTGCCGCTGTCGACGTGGCCCAGAACGCCCACATTCACATTGACTGCGGCCATGGACGAGGGCGAGGCGGATGTGGGGTGCAGCACACCAGATAACACATTGGAGAGGGTTGAGGTGGTGCAGCCACTTGGACCGGTTCGAAAGAGGAAGCCACAGCAGCGTACTTAATGGAGACTCGACATGACCCAGGATGGTGTGTACCAAGTTTTTGTTCACAACATTTTACTTTTACCAGCGTCACAAATAATAATAAAAACGAGGCATCAAAAATGATGTTTCGCTTTTTTTTATTATTTTTAACTTTTACCAGCAATTATCTAATAGCAGTCAAGTAATTTGTCGAAGATTATAAAAATTGGGCGACAAGGTTCGCCAAGGGTACTGTAATTTGATGCAACAAGAAGAGGATATAATGAAAAGTGAATTAATGTTAGCTATGTCCTCAGTTTGACGATGCTACGTCCAAGCCTAAGATAGAGAAGCAAGCTCTGGAGCTCGTCCTTCGATTTAAGTAATCCAATTAGGAGAACTGAATCAAGACGCAACACACTATACAGCAGCAGTCACTGAAGAATTCGCATGACGCTGTTAATGTATGTAGTAACTAGAAATTCGTATGCTAGGGCAACGCGATGAGCCTTTGATTATGAGCGTCCAGCCTTTGCGTATGTGATCGTATTCACCCTGAATCCATTCTAAGCCAATCACAAGTGTGCGCCACAATAGTGGCCTAGCCAAAGAGTGACTTCAGACGTACCTATATTCCTGAGAGGAGGATACAGACTAGATCGCACCTGGTTCGAATCATTTCTCCATTTACCGCACTCCTATTTGTGTGAAATAACCTGTCAGGCGGAGAATTGTGAATACTTTTGGTCAGTCTTATGCATCCACCACATTTCTCGCCATACCGATGCCAAGAAAAGAGAACACATTTGATGTCATATGGGTTAGTACAAGTTTTTTGCCTATATTTTAAATGGGGATATTACCAACTCAAGATCCGAGAACAAGACAATCCATTCACCGCCTGTAATAACCAATAGTTTGTGCGAGTACCTTGGTCAACTGTGAGACTATTGGAGATTCTAATACTTCTGATGGACTGCTCCATCGTTTCTTTAGCGATCGCGGGTCGTCATGTGAATTTACTTCGATATTTTATACGCTCAACAAAAAAAACAGCGCGAACATTGATTACCATTTTTAAGCGTAAATACCGCGTCCTTACGAGATGTGAAGAACGACAGTCGAACTTTAAACGGCGAAGTACCAATTCTGCGTTGCGTAAATTAGTTGTCTTGACGACTTCGTCGTCATAAAGTTGTACGCATGGACCTGGACAGGGTCAACATCATCCAAAATTGACCTGTGCCGACGACGAAGAAACACATGGAGAGTTTTCTTGGTGCAGCCTTATATGCATCCTGCTTCCGCCCCAAATTCGAAGGATTCGGGACCTCTCCATACTTTGATCAAAGGATTTAGTTCAAATGCCTGTCTTTATATTGGACCATCACCACGACCGTTTCAAACAATTTAAGCATCAATTAACCTCAACTCCTGTGTTACGACTCCCGCACTTCTCCAAACCGTTTGTAATTAGTGTGCATCTAATTTTGTAATTGAAAGGGTTTTGTTATAAGTTGAGGAATGTCAAGAGTACTCGACCTCTTATACTGGATGGAAGATGAAGCCGGCTGAGCTCAACTATCCAGTTAGAAAAACGATATTATGCACGACTTAAAAGTATGGCGTGTGTTTTTGCTCTTCGTTTGTTGGTCGTTTGGTGATCGCATGAGCCTTGAAGCTATTTGGACACAAAAGAATACTGATCGAAATTTAGTCAGATGTTTCAATGAGCTGGCTGGATTTCAGCCACGCATCAAGCGGATTCCTGGCAATACAAACGAAGTGGCGGATGCACTATTAAAACACCTAAACTCCAAATACAAAGCTGCTCTAGTCAGTTTTGAGATCTTGTCGAGAAAGCAGCAAATCGTGAGATATTGGCAACAATTGAAGCTACGTAATTTTGGATTGAACAAAGATCATTTAATTCATTTATTTTGGACCAACGAGTTCAAGAAATCATCTGAGCGATTACTTAAGATAATAAATGACAAGTGTACTATAATCAACGGACATGTACTACCACACCTAAGAAAAGGAGCATCCAAGACCGGTACTTCCTGATCTGGAAGATATTAAAAAAAACAATGTGTATTGACGAAAAAACACGAATTTTGGTAGCGGGATATCCAGGTTGCTACAAGAAATATCAAGTCGTTTAAACGAGATATAATTGGTCTAAAATGTGTTTGTACATACAGCGTTATGTGAAGACCATGAAATGTGTCAGCGCAATAAGGCCATACAGACCGAGGCTCCTGGTCTTGTATTCCATCAGAAAGATGGGTCAGAATTGCATTGCATTTTGTGTTTCTCCACGACAGACACGTGATGGAAATGATGCAATCACGGTAATCGTTGATCGATTGATCAGTAGCGTGATGTTACCAGAAACTAAAGAGCAGCGTCAGAGGTAGATACTGCACATCTTATCATGGAACAGTATGTGACATGTTATGGCTTATTCAATACAATCATCTCCGACCTTAATTAAACTGCACGTCAAAAAATGTACGTAACTGACCTCGATCCTGAAGGTGCAACACAACCTCTCATCCTTGTTTCACCCCAAACATTTGGACAGACCGAGCGCACGAAAAGATTTATCAAAACTATCTTCGGGGGGGTCATATATCCATCTTGAATATCTGGAACGAGTTTCCATTTTTACCAGAGTTTGCATACAGTCGCTCAGCCCATTCTTGGATTGGAATGTCACAACTTGAAGCAGACATAGGCTATATTTCGAAATGACAGATGATATTGCCGCTGATCCACGATTCAACAATACGATAAAGACAGATCAAGAATTTATCCTACAGTTATAAGTCGTTCTAAAAAAGCACGAAACGCAGTTAGTGCAGTCCAAGAACGTATAGAGTCATGCCACGACAAGTAAGACTACAGCAAACATTTCAGGTAAGCGATCCAATACTACTCTACGGCAAAAATCTGGATACTTCCAATTAAAGATTTTTCCCAAGCACACAAGCTGGGTACCAGATTCATTGGTCCATATTCTATCGTCGAAAAGGTCCATAAAATTCGTACAGAATCACCATGTCCAAAAAGCTTCGCATTCATCCCGTTCTCACATTTCAATACATAAGTCGATCGAAAAAGATCTTCAGCGTAAGCAACAAACAGCCAGATTTCTACTCACAGATAATATTGTTGTAGGAAAACTCGTCTATGCCGTAATTGGACATCGTAAACGTCGTGGAAAAATCTATTGCAAGATCCGTTGAATAAATGAATCTCTGTAATAGGCAACTTGGGAAATTGTAGAGGCATTCAAGCAAGCAAAAGGATTGATCACCAAATACGGGAATTCTGAATAAGGTACTTGTTTTTTAAAACGGAGGTCAGTTAACGTAACCATTATTCCATTACGTTACCGTCTGTTTTATAGAAATAGAACAATTGTTGTTATTGCTACTATTGCAAAAAAAAGGTAGGATGGCGGCTTTGAGCCATAATTGTTTTAGCTGTTACTGATAAGTGAAATCGCAAATGTAACTAACCAACGAAAAGTCAGCTGCTACACATCAGTAGAAAAAAACACTGTTACAATCCGGTAAAGAATTCAGTAGTGTAGCGGAGCTACACAGCTCCGAAAGTCAGATGAAAACTTAGTGCTTGTTATAGTAGCACCGCTCATGCACGGTTCACCAAAGGGTGTTTCATGGTGTTGGTTACGGAAGAAGGTTATGGATCGCGGTTACATGATGAGATCACACGATGTCGTTACATTAAGGCTTAGACTTAGCTAAGGGTAGTGAACTAAGGACTTTGTATAGATTTACTTCGGGATTTACATTCAACACCGCAACCTTCATTTCAACAGGTTAACAGCCGCAAGGGTGTTGACATAAATAATTTCACGAGACAAGCTCAAGCCATGACCATCAAGAGCTCCGAAGTCCTCCTAGGAAGTGGTAACTACTACCACTGGGAGTATAACATGCGCATGACATTGGCACGCAAGGGTCTACTGGCGCATGTTGAGGTTGTGAAGCCCGAGAACAAGGTCACCTAGGCGTGGCTCGTTAGTGACGCAAAGGCGCTTGGTTTCATCGCTCAAGGTGTGGAGATACAGCATCAGACCAAGATTCGGTCTGCGACGCGTGCGATGCATGCGTGGGGTGTGCTACGAGACTTCTACAATCGCTCTACGCTTTAGAACCGTGTGAACATGACGCGCCGTCTGCACCAGTTCAAGATGGAGAGCGTTTCGACTATGGCCAAGCATCTGGCTGATTTCGACGAACTCATTGTCGGATTGCAGACACTGGGAGAGCCCGTCGACGAAGCTCGACAGCTGGTAGTGCTATTAAGCAGCCTTCCTCCTGAGTATGAATTACTTTCAGCGATCGTGGAGAACGCCAAGGATTTGTCTCTGATCGAGGTGAAAGAGAAGCTGCTCAAGGAATACGAGCGACTAGAAAAGAAGGGCACCACCATGGAGAAAGCATTTCGCGCTAACGGGAATGCTGGAAGGTTCAAAGAAGGCCGAGGACACGGTCGAAAGGGGATCTCTTCAAGAAAGAATGGTGGTGGATACAAGGGCAAGTGCTTTGGATGTGGCCAAGTTGGTCATTTGAAGCGGGACTGTCCTGTGCAGAAAGGCGACAGTGGGAATGATGTAGTTTTTGCTGTGAGCGAGAAAAGACTCGACGGTTGGCTGATTGACAGTGGAGCTACATCGCATATGACTCCGCATCGTTCCGACTTGTTTGACTACGAAATCCTGAACGATGGCATTGATGTAACGATTGCTGATGGCAAGAAGTTACGCGTTCATGGAACAGGAACAGTGAGGTTGACTGGTGTGAACAGTCGAAGAATCAAGATGATAAATGTATTGCACATTCCAGGACTTGACCGTCGTCTATTATCAGTTGGAAGACTCGCTGAACACGGTCTAAGTGTCAACTTTGAGCGTTCATCGTGCATCATTTGGGACGACAGAAGTGCAATTGCTGTGGGAAAGAAGATGGGCAAAGCGTTCATGCTGGACTGTCAGCAGGAGGAAGCAAGATTTGTGCAGTACTCTGGAGCAGACAGTAAATGGGAGCTATGGCACGCTCGCTTGGCACACCCAAGTAAGGATGCACTGACCAAGACACAGCGTTGCACAAAAGGAATTCCTGCGGTAAAGCAAGGTATCTAGACGCTATGCGGAGGCTGTATGAAAGGAATACAAGCCGTAGCCTCTTTATCATCAATAACACTGTCAAAAACATCAGTAGTACTGGAACGGGTCCATACCGATGTGATGGGACCAATGCGAAAACTTTCAAAAGGTGGTGCTAAGCATGTGCTTACAATCTTGGATGATTACTCGCGGTACGTTGTGGCGTATTTCATGAGGACTAAGAGTGGAGTTTCCGGTAAGCTGAAGGAGTATCAAGCGCTGTATTAAAATCAGTGGGGAAAGCGCATGAAGTTTTTAAGGTCAGACAATGGAACGGAGTTTGTGAACAACACCGTGGCTGAGATGTGCATGCAAAAAAGGAATCATGCATCAACGATCTGTACCGTTTAGCCCTCAACAAAATGGAGTGGCTGAGCGTATGAATCGCACGATTATGGAGAAGGCACGGCATGCTACACTATAAGGGTGTTAGTATGGAATGGTGGGCAGAGGCTCTGAGCACAGCAGTATACTTGATCAACCGTTCTACTAATACAGCATGCTCAAACTCGACTCCATTTCATTTGGCCTACGATCAGAAGTCTCGTCTGGACCATTTGCGCGTATTTGGGTCGCAGGGGTACGCTTAAATTGACGATGTGAAGCGGACAAAGCTCGATTCCAAGAGCTTTCGCTGTATGTTTCTAGGGTATGCTGAAAATGCTAAGGGATATCGTCTCTATGACTTGGACGATATTAAGATCAAGACATCGCGTTCGGTCAAGCTGGACGAGCGTGAGGTGGGCGGTATATATGACACGCGGTTGCCGCAGCTTGAAACAATCGTCTGTGTAACCGCTGAACATAATGATGAAAATCTCTCACCTGTGAAGATAGAGCAATTAACGGACGAGCCCATGGAAGTCGATGAAGACCCTGGTATGGATGTGGAGATGGATGGGGTGGATGAGATGGAACATGATCAGATAATTTATTATCCTCGACTCCGGTCATCAGGACCTACACCAGTTGGGCATGAACTGACTGAATATTCTCCTCCGCAGCCAGTTTTCGAGGAAGACCGGTTGGTGTTTTACCCTGAGACAACATTCTCAAGGCGATCCAGGGAGCCAGCATTGCTACTCGAGAACGAGAAATATGATGACGAAGCACATCAGTCAGAATGGAGTGATGGACCACCACCACCAAAGCGTGCCAGAATCGACGATGAAGGGTTGCTGGCCGAGGCAGTATTAGCATATGCTGCAAATGTTGACGGCATTCCAGACACACCAAACACGTATGCAGAAGCCATTGCTAGTGGTGAAGCAGATGAATGGAGAAAGGCTATTGATGCAGAGCTTCATTCTCATGCCAAAAATCACACGTGGACCCTCGTATCACGTAAAACGAACATTCGTTCAATTGGGTGCCGTTGGGTTTTCGCTAACAAGCGGGATGAGAGCGGTCAAGTTATTAGATACAAGGCTAGACTCGTGGCTTAAGGGTTTAAGCAGAAGTTTGGGGTTGATTTCTTCGAAACATACTCGTCAGTGGCCAACATGAACTCAATTCGAGTTGTGCTTGCTGTGTGTGCGGCACACGCCTTCATGATGGAGCAGCTGGACGCTGATACAGCGTTTCTGAACAGTACGTTGGTGGAAACCGTCTACATGGAAGCTCCATGTGGTGCGAAGAACGCTAAGGGCATGATATGCAAGCTGAACAAAGCTATCTATGGGCTGAAACAGGCAGCAAGCGCTTGGAACTAGACAATTCGTCATGTGTTCCTGCTTAACGACTTCAAAAGCTGCGGTGCAAATCAATGCGTTTACGTAAAGCGTGCTCGAAATGGCTTCGTGTATGTGTGCCTTTATGTAGACGACATGATCATTGCGGCAAAAACAAGCGTTGAGATTCAAGAAGTTAAGAAGGCGCTTAAAAACGCATTTAAGATGAAGGAGCTGGGTGCAGCAAAGTTCATTCTGGGTATGGAGATCAATCACGACATAAACGCCGGTGCGCTCATGATAAGGCAAACGCGGTACATAGACGACGTGGTGAAACGTTTCAACCAGCAGAACGCGAAGATGGTTGAAAACCCATGCACTTCGAACCTGAAGCTGTCGAATTTGTTGTCGCCAACTACGGAAGAGGGACATGCTAAAATGAGGTCAAAACCCTATCGCTCGTTGATCTGATGCCTGATGTATATCACGACATGCAACCGACCAGACATCGCGTATGTGGTTACGCAATTGTCGCGTTTTCTCGAAAAACCTGGAGTTAAACACTGGAATGCAGCCATTCGTGTGCTTTAATACCTTAAGTCGACTCGCGAACATGGTATTGTGTATCAAGGAGGTTTCGGTAGCGTCACTGCCGAAGCATACACGGATGCTGATTGGGGCAGCAACACTGATGACCGACGCTCAGTATCAGGTGTCATGGTGATGAATGGAAAAACTCCAGTGGTATTCAAGTCGAAATACCAGAGAACAGTTGCTCTCAGCTCAGCCGAAGCTGAATATATGGCGGTAAGACTTTGCACTCAAGAAGTACTTTGGGTGCGGTTGATGCTTAAGGACATGGGTTAAGAGCAAAAAGGAGGAACACTTATCTGGGAAGACAACCAAGGTGCAATTGCATTGGCATGTAATGCTGGATATCACGCTCGGACGAAGCACGTCGACATACGTCACCACTTTATTCGCGAGAACGTGGAATGCAGATCGATTAAGATGGATTTCATTGAAACGAAGCATCAATTAGCGGACATGCTGACCAAGGGACTCGGAACGAAGACTCTTAAGTTCCTGCGTGAAGCAACTGGCATTAACCAAAAATTTACCGTGCCAAAGAGGTGAATGGGAGTGTTATAGTAGCACCGCTCATGCACGGTTCACCAAAGGGTGTTTCATGGTGTTGGTTACGGAAGAAGGTTATGGATCGCGGTTACATGATGAGATCACAGGATGTCGTTACATTAAGGCTTAGACTTAGCTAAGGGTAGTGAACTAAGGACCTTGAATATATGTACTTCGGGATTTACATTCAACACCACAACCTTCATCTCAACAGTGCTCGACGAGCGATGCTAGTTCTAAAGAACTAGACTCTATGAGTCAACAAGCGTAACGCTTGAGGTCCTTGTTCCAGGGACCGAACAATCCTCTGGAACAGGGACCGTAAGCTTTCAGTGAATCTACAGCATTTAGTGCCCAAGAGGACCTACCTCAGGGAGTTGTTGCTAACTCTTAACGATCTACGATTGAAGACGCCTCGCAAGGCATGAGTCTAAAACACGATTCAAAAGGGAACAGAATTTTATTTACTCTATCGAATATCTTGATCCTAATATAATCCAATTGAGGCAATTATGTCCTAAAATAATATCTTCAAGCTCTTTCCTGTCTGGTGGCTGACACCAGTCAGCTTTACAAACCGATGAGATATTCGATATCTTTTTCAGTGGGATACCATCCCGTTTGTCTTATACGCAGGGTACCGATACCCTATGATGTGTCACCCCTTTGCAAGTAGAATATGGTGATCAAGAGACATAGAGATAGCAAATTAGTTTGCAAAATAAGGAACTCCGTTTAACTCAATTTAAGATGTGCTATCGATAAAAAAACCCTTTGTCAGCTTCGACACCAAAAAACATCGCGTTTTTCCTCACTTGAGCCTATCTAGCATTGCAAATCCGTGAAAACATGTGAGAAGCGGTGATAAACCGTACACCCATGTCTATATCGATCGGATCGTTTCTGGATTTGTTGACTGAAGGGATCTCCATTGAGTCAATTATGCGCTATCCTGCGCTCGAAAATCAACACTCTTTATGAAGTAGGTCCATTGTTAATGTTGTCTCGGCAAAGCATGGCGAAAAGAGGCGTCATTGATTACCTTGTAAATTTTGCGCAGATGCAGCAATTTAATGAATGAGATATAGCACCTAAGAATAAGTGTGTCTCTTCCGGCGTTGATCAATCTCAAACGGGATGGTGCACATCTAATGGAATCGGCATGAGACAAATTAGCCCATGCAATATTAATCATACATTTGTCAACCTTTCAACAAGTTGATCTGGCCTTACAATCAGTCAAGACTGAACCATAATGATAATACTTCGATGTACTGCAGCATACCGCTTTTTCTGTGCTAGGAGTACCTTGTTTGGCTTTCTTTACGAGCACATCTCTCTTGCTCGGATTATCGGTGAAGAATAAAATGGAGATCTTTATGCTGTGCATGCTAAAGCCGTGTGAATACACATGATTTACATACCGTCTGCCAATACCAGAGACGCTTTATGTTTGCGCCACCTTTTTCCAGTATGACAGCTCCTTTAACTGAGAAAAAATTTGGACCATACTCTATTCATCATATTGACACGTTTACTCATTCGCGCAATATGTTTGACGTATCTTCGTCGACGCAGTCAGTCACGTCTAGAGATGTTAGATCAAAGGTCTCTGTTCATAGCATTTAATTTTACCAGCCTTAATAATGTTAGAAACAAGGCATTATTTTAGCCAGACTTTTATCAGCACTTATCTATTAACAGTCAAACATAATTTGTCCAATATTAAACAACTGAGGCTGCGCTGCAACCACTCCCGATGTTTGCCGCCCACCCATTAATACCTAGCCAAAAAATAAGGAGACGTGACACCGGTAAGAACTGTCGGCTACCATCTATGCTACAATCAGTCCCAAAGGCACACTGATCCCGCGAAAGCCGTTATATTTGCCTTCTCTGCAAATATTGTTAAATTCAAACACGTTGTTTGAGATTTGCAGGTTAAAATACCCACCTTCGGAAGCCTTCATCTTCTGGTGTGAGCGTTCTTTGAGATAGCGTTCCTGCTAGGGGGAAATCCAAGGCCAATTGCAACCACTGTTCACTTGAATTCAATCGCAGGCAGCTCGTATGGAGGTTCTCGTTGTACAGGTATTTCGCGTTTTTGCCGGCCCGAAGGGTGAAGCTATTAGCGATTGTGCGCAAGGTTGAATGCCAAAGTGTTAAATCGTACTTATCCGTGTGCGCATTTGTGTGTGTCTCTCTCTTTGTGTGTGTATGTGTGTGTGTCTGTATGCGTGAGTGCGTCTGGAAACAACGCGGGAAGGTGCACCTTACACAAACCAAGTGCGAAGTCTGTATCCTTCTCTCAGGAGTATAGGTACGTCTGAAGTCACTCTTTGGCTAGGCCACTATTGTGGCGCTAGCCTGTATTCTCCTTTCAGGAATATAAGTACGTCTGAAGTCACTCTTTGGCTAGGCCACTATTGTGGCGCACACTTGTGATTGGCTTAGAATGGATTCAGGGTGAATACGATCACATACGCAAAGGCTGGACGCTCATAATCAAAGGCTCATCGCGTTGCCCTAGCATACGAATTTCTAGTTACTACATACATTAACAGCGTCATGCGAATTCTTCAGTGACTGCTGCTGTATAGTGTGTTGCGTCTTGATTCAGTTCTCCTAATTGGATTACTTAAATCGAAGGACGAGCTCCAGAGCTTGCTTCTCTATCTTAGGCTTGGACGTAGCATCGTCAAACTGAGGACATAGCTAACATTAATTCACTTTTCATTATATCCTCTTCTTGTTGCATCAAATTACAGTACCCTTGGCGAACCTTGTCGCCCAATTTTTATAATCTTCGACAAATTACTTGACTGCTATTAGATAATTGCTGGTAAAAGTTAAAAATAATAAAAAAAGCGAAACATCATTTTTGATGCCTCGTTTTTATTATTATTTGTGACGCTGGTAAAAGTAAAATGTTGTGAACAAAAACTTGGTACACACCATCCCTAGTCATGCCGTGTCTCCATTAAGTACGCTGCTGTGGCTTCCTCTTTCGAACCGGTCCAAGTGGCTGCACCACCTCAACCCTCTCCAATGTGTTATCTGGTGTGCTGCACCCCACATCCGCCTCGCCCTCGTCCATGGCCGCAGTCAATGTGAATGTGGGCGTTCTGGGCCACGTCGACAGCGGCAAGACGAGCCTCGTGCGGGCCCTGAGCACGCATCTGTCCACGGCCGCTCTGGACAAGAGCCCGCAGAGTCAACGCCGTGGCATCACGCTGGACTTGAGCTTCTCTAGCTTCCGATTGGACGTCAGAAAGGGAGGACCATCATTCCGCCAAGTGACGCTCGAGGACTGTCCCGGCCATGCCTCCTTGTTCCAAACGGTTTTGGGAGGTGTAGCCATTATTGACACAGTGGTCCTTGTAGTCGACTGCCGCAAAGGGCTGGAGGCCCAGACGATCGAGAGTTTGTTGCTGGCGTCGCTCGTGTGTCCTCGGCAACTGGTGATTGTACTGACCAAGACGGACTTGTTGTCCGCTCTTGGTGTGGAAAGAGCGGCCGCGATTGGCGCAGTGACGAGTGAGATACGGGCCTTTGTGGCGACCCACGTTCGCTCGCTCAAGGACGTGACTATTCCCGTCGTGCCTGTGGCCGTGGGGACTGGACACAAGACTGAGGGGATTCCGCATCTCTTGGAGGTGCTACGGACCCATTTGCAGGCTCCAGAACGTGACACAAGTGGAGATTTTCGTCTTGCAGTGGACCATTGCTTTGCTGTGCCAGGCCATGGTACTGTGCTCACTGGCACTGTGCTGTCTGGAGCGCTTTCGACAGGAAGTGAGCTGGAGCTGCTGCCAATTGGGGCGAGGACTACAGTGAAGACGCTGCAGGTGTTCCGAAAAGACGTAGAAAGGTGCGTTCAAGGTGATCGAGTTGGGCTGCGTGTG